CTTGAGGCTTGTTTAAGTCCATACAAAGACTTCAACAACTTGCAGACTTTGTTTTCACCTGGTTTTGCAAAACCTTCAGGCATTTTCATGTAGACTTCTTCATCTAAATCACCCTGTAAGAAAGCATTATAGACATACATCTGGTACAAAGTCCAGCCTTTTGATACTGCCAATGCAATAACACATCTAACTGTTACCATCTTGGCTACTGGAGAAAAAGTGTCATGGTAATCCAATCCTTCTTGTTGACTGTATCCTTTTGCTACAAGTCTTGCTTTAAACCTTTCTATCTCACCATTTGCCTTATACTTTATCTTATATATGCACTTGGAACCAACTGTATGCATACCTTCTGGTAGTTCAACTATTTGCCAAGTATTATTTTCTCCAAGGGCTTTGATTTCCTGCTTCATAGCTTGTATCCACCTTTCATCTTGTGAAGCTTGATTGAAACTCTTAGGTTCTGTACACTCTGAAAGTTTACTCAGAAAACTTCTATGCTCAGGTTTTAACTTTTCATAATTCAGATAGCTAGCCATAGGATGTTTAGTGCTACTATGGCCTTTAGTAATGGTATAATCTTTCATCCATATTGGCTCCTTGATGCTTCTTGAAGATATTCTAACATAAGAGTCAGTCTGTGATGGTCTAGCATGAGTGTTTTCAGAAGCTTCCTCTGTTGTACTTGGTCCAGACATCTGATCTTCTGAAGGATCCTCAGTCTCATTACTCTGATTGTCTTCATGAACTACATTAGTGTCTGCATGTCCACTACTATCAATCTCAGCTTCAATATTTTGACTCTCCAAAGGTGAACCATGTACATCAACCAATGGATCAAGTTGAGGCCTCACTTTAGCAAAAGGAAATATTTCTTCATGAAATACTACATCTCTGTTCACATGTACCTTAGTAGAGTTAATATCCAACAACACATATCCTTTCTGTAATTCTGAGTACCCCAGGAGAATAGCTGCACTAGCTCTGGTTGAAAACTTATCTCCTTTAGGCACTGTTGTAGCATAGCAAAGAAAACCTATAACCTTTAGATGAGATAGACTAGGTTGTTTACAATAAATTAACTCATATGCACTCTTGTTAGAATTGACTGATGAGGGTAACCTATTCATCAAATACACTGCAGCCTTGATGCAACAACCCCAAAATCTGATAGGTAGATGAGCTTGAAATCTGATTGCTCTTGCAATATTAAGGATGTGTCTGTGCTTTCTTTCAACCACACCATTTTGTTGTGGTGTGTGAGGGCAACTACTCTGATGTAGTATTCCTAGATGATTGAATAAATCTCTACATTGTGAATTAAGGAACTCTGTGCCATTATCTGATCTCACAACCTTGACAGGAGAATTGAACTAAGTTTTGATCATTGAGAAGAAATTTTTGATAGCTACAATGGTTTCTGATTTTAACTGCAACAAATGAACCCATACAAATCTACTATAGTCAAGAAGTAATACTTTCTATCTAGAGTAGGAGTCTTATAAGGTCTCCATACATCCATATGAACAACATCAAACATCATGGATGCTCTAGTAGTACTAATAGGAAAAGCAAGTCTAGTTTGCTTGGCTAAAGGACAAACAGGACAATGATCTGATATTCTATCACCTTTACTGCTTGTATCTATCTTGAGATACCTCAATATCTGTTGAGATAGATGTCCTAACCTTCTGTGCCATATTTCTGTGTCTTGTGTTACAGCTCCTGCAGTTACTATTTCTTGAGCACACTTTATTTCTTCCTTCTGTCTAGATGAAAAGGTAGCCTTAAAACTGTACAATCCTTCTTCTTCTCTACCAATCCCCTTCACCCTGCCACTGCAGAGGTCCTGAAACACACAAAATTCAGGGTAAAAAGATACAAAACAATTTAGTTCTCTTGTAATCTTTGACACTGACAATAGACTAAACTTGAAATCTGGCACATGTAAAACACTTCTGGCCACTTCATTATCAAATATAGGTGTTTCACCAATATGACTGACTGTAACCTTGTCACCTGTTCGAAGATGAACTTGATTCATCTGTGACTTTGTTAATTCATGTCTCCTAGTTAGCAACTGCTTATTTGCAATGATATGATGAGTTGCACCTGAATCAACAATCCAATCCTGACTAGCATTATTTGTCATTAAACAAGTTTCAATACCTGCCATATTGACTTGTTTTGTTTCTTGCACATCTCTGTTCAGCATTTCCATTATTTGTTTATATTCCTTCTCTGTGAATGTTTGTCCCTTTGGCACCTTCTGTATGTTATTATTTTCCACCTGATTACTTGACACAACATTAGGATGATCACAGTGATCATTAGAGATGTTGTTTGCAGCTTGGTATCCTCTCCCATATCCACCATTATTTCCTGAACTTTGTCCTCCATATCCATTGAATTGACTTGTGCCTGTACCATTTCTCATGTTTACATTCCCATTTTCATAACCTGGTTTCTTCCTTTGTTTCCAGTCACTTGGATAACCAATCAACTTGTAGCAATTATCCTTTGTGTGACCAAGGAAATGACAATAATCACATTTCTTTCCTTTGTAATGTTCCTTTCCAGCTCCTTGATTCCTGTTAACACTCATCACCATAGAGCTTGGTTTTTCAACTGCATTGTCCATACAACTTGAGTGCTGAATCTCATCTTCTATAATCATAGCATAAGCTTGATTCATAGATGGTGTAGTTCCTTTAAGCAATATCTGTCTCCTAGCCAGATCATATGATTCATTTAGGCCACTTAGGAATTGAATCAATCTCATCTGCTCCAAATGATCATTATACTCCTTCGATTGAGAACAAGTACTACATGGATTTGGGACTACAGCATCATACTCATTCCATAGTGTTTTCAGCTTTGAGAAGTAATGAGATACAGAATCTGTACCTTGTGAGAGAGTGGTGATATCTCTATGTAATTGATAGATCCTTACTCTATTCACCTTGTCGAATCTTTCCTTTAGATCCTTCCATACTGAGAAAGTGTTTGTGGCATACACAATACCACTAAGCAGTTCTTCACTCACTGTGTTCATCAGCCAAGATAGCACAATTGCATTGCAAGTTTCCTATTGCTCATGCAATTCATCTTTGTACAATGCTCTAGTGCAGGCACCAGTTACGAAACTATACTTCCTTTTCCCTAATAGTGCAATCCTCATTGCTCTACTCCAAACTCCATAATTTTCAGACCCAACCAGCTTGATTGGAATCAACACAGCACTAGAATTATCAGAATTTCCAATGTACAATGGATCATTTTGATCTATCTTCATTCCCACTATATCTGTAGATCTTAAGCTATAGATTATCACCAATTGCTAGAGATTTGAACTCCACTAAATGTACAGATCACACTTCTCTGATACCATGAACAAAAACAGTAAGCTTCCAAGCCTTTACTCCATTGAAGAGGCTTGAAGCTTTAGGAAGAAGAAGAAGAAGAATAGAAAGTGTGACTGTTGTATTGAATTCATTCTTTACACGTGAGGATCTGCATTGCTTATATAGCAATCAGATGCTGAAAACAGAATACAAACTAACTAACTAATTCTACACACTAATCGATGTAACAACCTACTAATTCGAAATTACAATAATAGGCCTAACTAACTACTAACTAACTTCTACTTCTAACTAACTTTTGAATAGTTAGTTGCTGCCACTAACTAACTCATCTTCCACTTCTTCTAACTAACTCATCTTCCACTTCTTCTAACAGAATGTAAATTCTTTAAATAAAGTCAAAGTACGTACGGTTTTGGGTTGAAAAGAAATAATAGTATCTTATTATTAATTCATCTTATGCCACTGAATGGTATAATGTGGTAAATAGAATTTACTAGTTGTGTAAGTTTCGTTCAGAGGTCTTAATTAGAGGTGGAGCTAGAGAAAAAGTTTTGAATTTGACAGAACCCAATAACTTTTATAAAAATTTTATATTTGTGTTACGAAATTCACTATATATGAAATTGATTTATCAAAGGTAGAATTCATAAACTTAAATTTATGACTTCACCTCTGGTCTTATTTATTAAAACGTTCCTTAATGTGTTTGTTCTGCTATGTCTATAAATTCAAATACCAATTTTCTTAACTTCTCCAATTACTTTTATGGACCGTGGATAAGTTATTGATTTGACAAGCAAAGAACAATGCAGGTCAATTTTTGAACCTGTAATACATGCCACTATACCAGGATTTACTTTCCTGGAGTATGAAAATGTTCAAGCAGCAAAATAAGTAATTCAGTGTGGTAATATAGCTACTTTATTTGTCGAACCAATCAAAGCTAAAGTGAAGGTGGCATATGATAGTGCATTTTCTCTTATTGTATTAAGAAAATATATTGAAACTTTTACTTGTATTTTCTTTTATTAGATTCAGTGTAGCCTAGAAAGAAGTGGGTATTTTTTTGACGCACAAGCTTAACAAATACCCAGATATTATTTGATTCTCTCTACTTTTTAATTTTTTAGTTGTATATTTATAATTTTTTTTATCAAAATATAATTATATATATCGTTTATTTGGAAGATGAAAATGTTTAATTTAACAACAGTGTCGTACAAGCTAAGTACTACTAAAAGCAGATTCTTTGAAAATTGTGTGTAGAATTAAAATACAAGACCCCCCCCCCCCACACACATTCCCTCTCTCTCTATATATATTACTCCTATATTAGAAATGGCATAATTAACATGCTTGCTTCAAGGGTTATTTTGGTCTATACAATGCTTCAAGGGTTATTTTGGTCTTTACAATGCTTGCTTCAAGGGTTATTTTGGTCTTTACAATTATGTATATGGTTAGGTGTCTTCTCTTTGTGAATCAATTTTGCCTTTTCATTTTCTCAGCTAACGTGTCTTCTTCTGATAAAATGAATATGCATGTCTTCCTTCTAATTCTTCATTTATAATGATTCACTATTTGCACATGGAAGTTCACTCTCTTCAGCCTTCTCCAGGTAACCTTTTACATGTCTCAATTAAGCATTCTTTTTCCTTCATCTTCCTTTCAATCAATGTTCAAGTTCCAAATTTGATCTGGGTGTGTAAAATTTTCACTTATTTTTTCGTTTGGAATTGTTATTGATGTTGGATTATCCTTTTGGTTGGCTCATTGAGATTGATTTAGGTGGGTGAATATACCCAAATTTGATTTGGGTATGTGATTCTTGTTCCATGTTACAAAAATCCCAATAATGTAATCCATTTGGGCGTATTTTGATTTCCTCATTCAAATTTCTGGTTGTCTTCTTTTCTTTGTGTATGAAAAACCTATGTATTTTCACATGCAGTAACTTTTGGTTCTCTTTTATCAGATGTAGTGTTAGTTTGGTCTTCCAATTCAAATTTTTGGTTGTCTTCCTCTGTTCATGTATGAAAAACCCATATATTTTCACATGCAGTAAATTTTGGTTGTCTTTTAATCAGGATGTGTTTGGGCTACAAAACTCTTCCTGATTATCTCCAGTTTGGGTATAGAATTGGTAAATTTTACCAACCAAGGTGTACTTGCATCTGCTGGCCATTTTGACTTTGAAATCTTCTTCCCGAAAGGTTATGGAAGGGTATTCTTGCCGAGTGCTAATAATAGGAGGCGTTATGTCTATGGGTGGGACATATCGATTTTGATTAACTCTGATTTCAATTTTTATTAAATCTGATTCGAGAGGCTAAGTATTTGGTCACAATGGGGGGTGAATGGTCTGGAATTCGAATGGAATTATTTTTGCTGAAGGAACTATTGATAGGAGGTCTGTTTTGAAATTGTTGGGAGTTATGTTGGTTGGTTTTTTGCAGGTTTGATCTCTGAATATTTCCACAGAATCATTCCCTTTGTGATTATTCTTCTCGTTTAGTCCATTTCCTGTAGCCTGCATAAACTGCGTACCCTTCTCATGCTCATTTTGATTAACTAGAACATTACAGGGAACATTACTATGATCATTAGGAGTTATCGTGCTAGGGACTAACTTACTTGTGGTGCTATTGTTGGCCTTTGGTGTATAATCCTTATAATTTATTTTGTGGTTTATGATAGTTTGATTTTCTTCTCCTCGACTATTGTAAGTGTAGCTCTTGAAGATCCTCCGAAAATAAACGGCTTAGATTAAGATTATGTGGTGTGGAAATTTTCATTTTATAGTTGATTCATCCTGATTTTTAGGACCCTTTTTTTCTTCTTTTTCCTAAATCTTTGTGCTGCAATTAATTTTGTACTTTTAATTTACCACAAATCTGCACTGTGTAAAACGTGTTCTTGTTCTTGAATTCATTGTTGCAGAGACCCTTTTAAGCCCAAAGGCCTTTCATGATTTTTCGATAACGGTATGAGCTCTTTCTTATTATGGTTTGAGTTCTTCGTTTGACTTGATGTGGGGATTAAATTCATACTGTTTTGTTCTGTGTAGTTGGTGAGTTGGTAATTTGTTTTGTTGGTCTAATATTAGGGTTACTTTGTTGATTCTGAGTTTAAAGATTCAAACTTTGTGCTTTTGTGTTTTGTTTTAAGTTATTTTCATGTATTGTTACTGCTTAGTTGAGCTGCTATATGATTTTTTTCCGATCAATATTTTGCATCAATAGTGATTAAAAAATTATACATGCATACTATCAAAATAATTGAACTGTTGAATCCAAAACAAACAATAACTGGGAAGTCAATACAAGGACAAAATACGCAGCAAAAGAGCTAGCTCAAAGAAAATAATTCAGCACCACAAACTAACAGAAGATGATAAAAGCAGGACTATATTGACAGATTCTGCTATGCACGAGTCCTTTGTGAGGTAGTTTAGACGGTCTACTACATTTGAGTATTTTTCTGTTTATAGGAAGCGATTTGGAAGAGTTTGTATAGAGTGGTTGATAAACTTAGAAGTTCCTGACATATGTCAATTACAGAAATCGACAAATGAGCCTTGTCTAAAGCTGCAACATTTGGCTATTGCGAAATGCAATGAATAATCTCACAGTTTCAACATCCCGAGTTATTCTTCAAGCTGCTCTTCGATCTTTACTTGTAAGTCCTACACGAGTAAACCCAGAAGTTATACACATTATCTTTTCCAGACCTCACCTGGTGGGATTACACGGGGTATGTTATTGTTGTTATCCTTATTACGTTGGCACCGAGACCTTGAAGTTTCATTTCTAAATTTTCATAACCCCTATCAACATGGGAGATTCCACTGATTTCAGTAATTCCTTTGGCAGCCAGACCAGCCAAAACTAATGATATTCCCCCACGCAAATCAGTTGCATTGACCTGAGAACCGCGGAGTGGACTAGCAGAAGATCCATAACAACATCAATACGCGATATAGTTTGTATAGAACATTAGGAAATCAAGCAAGAACTATAAACTTACCTTGCCTTTCCCTTCCCATAACAGTTGATCTGCTTCCAGAGACCTGAATATTAGCTTCAAATTTCAGCAGCTCAGTTACTGCACACAAGAAGATAATGAAACCTTTGAAAGAAACATCGAATACAATTATCTGTCGAAAAAAAGAAACGGTTTTGCAGGCATTCTGACCTGATATTCTTTAGAAATTATGTGAGAATTATGATCCCTTAGTTTTGTTTGGGTGGTCCAAATTCTTCTGAAAGAATTACCAATTATTTGATTCTTTAGTGTGTAAAAAACCTACTATTTCAGTATGCTTTAGTCTTTTTTGGTTCTTGAACAAGATTATCTGGATAGTTTCTTGATTATATGACTGTAAACATATTTGGCTGTTAATGAGATATTTTCTTGATTTTGCATGACTGAAATGTGTCAGAATCTTAAATTCTTTCTTCAAGGTTGGGTTGTTGGCATTTATACATCTACTAAATTTGTGTCTCCATCTATACAACTAAAAGAGTATCAGGTGTTTCTCTTTCCCCCCTTGATGTGAATATAGAGGGTGTAGCAACCCACCTCTCCTTATTAGCATCATTCCTAATATATACTTATAATTATGTTATGCTTATATTTGTCTACATCCCTATTGCATTATGACTTTTTAGCTGCAGAGTTTGCTTAAGCATTAGTCAATTGAGATGTGTTCAAAGATATGTGAGGATAGTGGAATAGTGATTTTATGGATAGTTTTATGGTGCCCTTCAATATTTTCCCAAAGCTTTAATATGTGACTGTACAATTTCCATGAACTAAAGCATAAACTGAGAGTAACAGATATAGGGGATTCATATAGCCGACTTCAAATGTAGATAAAGAGATTCATACTGTCGACTTCAATTAGTTTGGAATTGATGTCTAATTGTTTGGTAGTACAAAAACCGCATCGCGTAATAGTCAGTTGTTTTTTTCTCAAATTATATGCTATTTATGTCTTGTCAAAAATCTAAATTTAGCTCTTCTCTTGTTTTCTACCTATATTTCATAATCCATGGGATACCCTACATATACAAATTCCAACAATCATTCTGTGATAGAGCCACAAATGTCTTTGTCAAAAATGATTGAGAGTATAATAGGAAAAAAAAACACCATCTGCAGGTTTGATCAATCAAATAATGAGTATTTTTCATGTATCAAAAACTTCGAAGTTTTCATTTGAATATTAATTTCTACCACCAAAACGATTGTTATATACATACAATCCGTTCTCATTTAGCGTAATTACATGGTTTGAGAACGGATTTCAACTAAAACTATTGAGTTCAGTCAAATCTGTACCTATCACTGTGACCCCGCCTGCGCCAGCAGAGTGCATGTGCATATATATTAAGCTAAGGGACCAAATGAGTCATAAAGGATACCCTACAGCAACCCCATGACCACTCAATTAAATGTTTTCATACCATAAATTTGGCCTTATATGGGCAACTTTCCCCCCTCCTAATAAAGAACAATTAATTATGACACCTTTTCATTTCTCTCCTTACATGTGAATGGTAATTTTTTTCCACCTGAAGTCTGCAGTGATTGTACTAGATTTCCTATTATAGTACCTTCTTCTTAACTTGTTACAATAATCTTGTTAAAAGGAGAAATATTGTGACTTCACACTAGGAGCTGCCAAATGATATTAGTACAGATTTAATTTATATCCACTGACAGTGTAATGTTGAACATTTTCTTGCTGTTCAACTAGTAACTTTATAATGTATAGAAGATATTATTCTGTCAACGTATAGAAATTAAACTCGATTGGTATGCCTATAATGACTTAATATATTGTGATTTAATGATGAGACATATGCATTATTTTTCAAGAAGTGGCATCTATGGTGTTGTAGCATTACTAGGAGATTCTCTAAAGTCAAGCAGACTAGGACAAACTGATAAGCCTATCAAAGACCTGTGCCTCCAAACATTGCCAATTAAGAAAACAATGAAGCCAAGAGATTTTGTTTCTAAATGGTCCTCTTATATTAGCAAATAAGTGGTCCATGAAAATGCTTCATATGTGGTATTATAGTAGGAGTTTGCTCAGATTTCCGGTAGATAAAGGAGGATTAGTTTGCGGTAAGTTGACAGCTGAGGTAGAAAGTGCACATCTAGACATCTTAACTGGCAACTAACGCTCCAACTCATCCCCACTCCTCACATTGATATGACACACAAACTTTCGAGGTGTCTTTGTAAGTTTGAGTGTTGAACTTACATAACGAACGTGAGTTGAGGTATCTAAATGTGCATACTCAAAGTTAGTGTGTTAACTTGTCAACCGAAGCCAAGTTTGAGTGTTTGTTTATATTATATGCCTTCATATGATTGATTGCAACTTGCTTGAGATTGAGGCGTCACCTTGTGTTATAGTATAAGATAGGATTAGTTAATGAAGATAAGTATGATATGAAAATGAGAAATTTATGTATCACCTTAGGAGGAGGTACAAGTCGGATTCACCAATTGTTCTCTATCTAATATTTGTCGTAATTTTCATATACATATGTGTTGTTTAGTGAGTGACATGATTCTTGTCTATGTGAATTTTACTTCCGTCACTTTTATGTCGTAACTTGCATGTCCATTTGGGATTATATAATTATGACTAATAAATTACATAACTAAAAAAAATAAAACAACATACATATTGGAAAATATATATAATTTTTTTTAATAAATCCTTTATTATGTTTGTAGATGATGGTTTTAGTACAGGATTGCAACTTTACTTTGAGGAAGTGTTAGGACATTTCTATTCAATATTTTGTCTAATTCCAGGTAGGTTTAAGAAAGTGAAGGAATTATTTCGCATTTTGTTGTAGGATATAGGTATAGCTATAGATTATAGATCATAGTTTAGTAAATAGTATGTAATATTAGAGATAGAATTGCATTAAATAATATTTCGGGAAAAGTATCATCAGTGCATATAAATGGAATGACTGAGAGTAACATGACAAATTTTAACAGCAGAAATAAGTCTTTTGAGGAACTCTACATGTTAGCAGTACTTTCATATCAGATAAAACTTACTCAATAGTTACCCACCAAAAGAGAGACAATAAGTAGGAATTCCCCATGGTCATGGCTACAACCCACTCTTCCAGTCTTGGTTGGGGTTAATTAGTGTGTACACACACACATCATCCACCACATCTGTTCCTACTTCACATTTCGTTTATAAAAATATTGCCACTTGTCGGTTAGCTTTACACGTATTTCAATTACTTCACATTATTATATACGATTTGAATTTTATCAATTATTTAAGAGCAATGCAAATACACAAATTTAGGTATTAGTATTATAGGCAGCATGGTCATTGTGTTTAGGACTTAAAATTTTGCCAATGTATTTTGTTGGAAAACATGAATACATTTTCTAAATGGAGTTAGTTTACCTTTTATAACTGCTCGTAATAGATGTCTTAATTGAATTCGGTTTACCTTTTCTGAGTGTAACAACAACTAAGCCTCCTACTTCTTTAAGAAATAAATCATATGAAAGTTTTCTTATTAGTTTTCAGTTTCTCCCCACTTTTAAAAGACTTTAGCATCCTCATCAGAGAAATTCTATCAACTCTACCAAAAGCAACTATACTTATTATGAGCTCATACAAACTACAATATGCTAACAATGCCATTATGACTTACCGATTGGTACTAATATTTTCATTCGAGTATTTAAGTTTAATAAGTCAGTTGTTTTGTTTGTCTAAGCTTTCATATATTCATATGGCTACACTAATATCATAGATTTAAGACGAACTATTAGAGATGATATTTGATAGATAAAACTTGTTGAAAATACTAAATTCCTTTTACAATTAGTTTTTGTGTGCAGTGTGAAGATAGGAATTCGCAATTATTACTACTGAAGTCTCAGCGCTACAGGTATGTTCTTTTCCACACGTTATTATGGTTTCTCTTTTGCCTTCGGTATTAATTTTCTGCATTTTTACTAAATTCTGCAAAGAATAATTTGGTGTGTTATAATTATTTTGAATTGGTTTATGCATGTAATTTGATTTGTTATAATTATTTTGAACTATTTTATGCATGAGTAAGAAAATGAAAGTAAACATATAATTTATATATCATATTCAGGATAGATAACAGTTCTACAAATGTGAGACAAAAGTAATAGAAATCAACTGAATTCTGAAAAAGCTCACGCTGATAAAAAAGCTAGATGGCAAGAATTATATAAACTGGCACAATTTTATAAGAAAGATGCCCATCTAGCTGGCAGACGGGCTAACTCAGCCATCGAGAATAATGCCTCCATCGGTGCTAGCTCCAGCACCAGCACATTGTCTACACATGAGCAAACTCTTAATAGAGGTAAAATAACTAGATAGGCTATAATCTAAATAATCTTTATCTACTAAAATTAGTTTTAAGAATTAACTACATTATGCAGGATGTAGTTCAACAGAAGTTAATTACATGGAAACCATCCACCTGATAACAAATTATGCTACCCTAAAAGATGTTCCCCGGTGTAAATTCTGTACTGCAAAAAGATTTGAGTATGAACCACCAACATTTTGTTGTGGCAATGGTGTTGTGCGGCTTATTTCACATCAAACACCGACAACTTTAAGAAATCTATATTTAGGAAATACGAATGAATCTAAACAGTTTCGAACTTATATAAAAACTTACAATAACATTTTTGCATTCACATCTCTAGGAGTTAGTTATGACAAAGAACAAGCAAAAAAATATAAAGGTATATCCACATTTCGAGTTCAAGGAAAAATATATCACTTTATAGATGACTTAGTACCAGCTACTGAGAAAGGAAGAAATTTACAATTATATTTCTTTGATAGTGAAAATGAATTGAGGAATCGATTGGAATGTTCAAGCAAACTGAATGAAGGTAGTGTACAAAAACTGATGGAAATATTAAATGCTAATACATACCCATATTCCTAAAGTCACTAATAAATATTCCACAATTATCTAACTTCTACATTGCTCTAAAATTCGATGCTGGTTTAGATCAAAGAGTGTACAACTTACCAATTGCATCAGAAGTTGCTAGAATATGGTAGAGCAAGATGCTCAAAATTATACACTCGCCCCTCATATTCGTGTATATACAAATAGCAATAGGAGTCAATTGGTAAATTAGTATTACGGTTGTTATGATCCATTGCAGTATCCACTGTTATTTCCATATGGTCAAAATGGATGGCATTGTGGTATTCAGAAAATTGAACCTTTAGGTGCTTCTTCTTCTAGACAAAAATATTGTGAAAATGAACAATTACCACGCGTAACAAATATGACTACAATTGATGAATTTCTTGATATAGAAGCTGAAGTTATGCAAAAGGAAAACGTAAAAGAAATAGTGTCTCCTGTCGTGAATGTTATTGTTATCAACTTCAAATGCGAGATGATGAAAATATAATTCTACATTCAGGAAGATTGTTTCAAGAATACACTGTTGACCAATGGATAAAAATTGAAACTCAACGATTAGTTTTGCTTCTTTCAATCCGGATTTATATAGAACAGATGTATTAGGAGGATTGCTAGATGTTCTATGACGAGGTGAAAGAGATGCTTCACAAGTAGGTAAACACAAATTTCTCCCACTTAGCTTTACAGGAGGGCCAAGAGATATGCGTAGACGATACATGGATGCAATTGCATTGGTTCAGCGTTTTGGAAGAACTGATATATTTTTAACCATTACATGTAACCCCTCTTGGCCAGAGATCAAAGAAAATCTTCTAGCAAGTGTTGAATCACAAAATAGACCCGATTTAATTTGTCGAGTATTTCGTGCAAAATTAAAGGAACTAAAAAAGGATTTGTTAAAGAAACACATATTCGGTAAAGTCTTGGCATATATGTACACAGTAGAATTTCAGAAACGAGGACTCCCTCATGCTCATTTTATAATTATACTTGATGAAAGATTCAAAATACTTACACCTGAAGCCTATGATCGATTTGTTTCTGCAGAATTACCAAATCCTACTGTAAATCCTCACCTATATTCAATCTTTACACAACACATGATTCATGGACCTTGCGGTGAACTAAATCCAACAAGTCCTTGTATGAAAAAAGGATATTTTAAATTTAAATTTCCAAAAGAGCTTGCTCATGAAATGACAAAACGAAAAAGTTCATATCCTATTTATAGAAGATGCAATAGGAAACTATGTGGAGATTAGAAAACATCTTGTTAATTATTTTATGGGTTGTCCCTTATAATTCCTTTTTATTATCCAAATATAATTGTCATATAAACGTTGAGATTTCTTCAGATATTAAAGTAGTTAAATACATTTATATGTACATATGCAAAAGACATGATAAAATCGCATTCCAGATTCATACTAATGATACAAATATAGAAGTTGATGAGATAAAAGAATATCAATCAGCTAGATGGTTTTCCGTGCCTGAAGCAGCATGGCGTATATTTGCTTTTAATATCAATGAAATGTCTCCTAATGTATACCATCTTCAACTACATATTGATGGACAACAACTTGTTTCGTTCAAAAGTATTGATAATATTAGTAAAATTATAAATAATCCAATGATTCAAAAAATAATGTTAACTGAATTTTTTGTCATGAACACAGTGAATGATACAACTAAAAGCTTAAACTTATTACATCGAGAATTTCCTGAATATTTTGTCTGGTCAAAAACAGATAAAATGTGGACAATTCGTAAGCGTGGAAATGCTATTGGACGCATTGTCACTTGTCGTCCTACTGAAGGAGAATGATACTACCTTAGATTACTTTTAATTAACATAAGAGGACCAAAATCATATCAAGACTTGCTAACGGTTAATGGAAAGTTATGTACAACATTTAGAGAAGCAGCTGAAAAAAGAGGATTATTACTTTCAGATAATAATTTAATAGAATGTATGTCTGAGGCTATAGATATCAAATGCCAGCAAGTCTTAGACATTTGTTTGTTATGTTACTGATATATTGTAGCCCAAGTAATCCAAAAGAATTATGGGAAAAATTTGAAATATCCTTATCAAAGGATTTTATGAGAATTCCAAACATTAATACAACGGAAATTCATTATAGGGTGTTAACGCATATTAATGATATTCTTCATTCAGTTGGTCGTGATATTAATGAATTTAAACTAACTCCCTGAATTAATTAAAACATCTGCACTATCAAAAGAAGCTACAGATGTTTACCATGAAAGAAATCTTACTGTGAGTGAAGATGATCTGCTTCTACAAAATAAATTAAACACTACACCAAAAAAGCTTACAATATAATCTTAGAAAGAATATTTTCAAATAAATCAGGTGCATTCTTTATAGATGGCCCTGGAGGAACCGGTAAAAGCTTTTTATATCGTGCTCTATTAGCAATGGTTAGATATAGAGGATTTCTAGCTTTGGCAGCTGTAAGTTGAAGGTGTTGCAGCTTCGCTGCTTCCAGGTGGTCGCACTGCTCATTCCCGTTTTAAAATTCCAATAAATATCGAAGGAAAGTTCAGTTGTAACATCAGTAAACAAAGTTCTCTGGCATCTTTAATTCGTGATGCAAAACTTATAGTATGGGATGAGATTTCAATGGAAAAAAAAGAAGTAGTTGAAGCTCTTGACTTACTTTTGAAAGATTTAATGGAAACAAGAATACTATTTTGCGGAAAAGTTATTTTTTTAGTGGGAATTTCAGGCAAACTCTTCATGTTGTTCGTAGTGGAAAAAGAGAAGACTTCATTAATCAAAGTCTGTTATGCTATCAAATTTGGAATCAACTTGAAAAATTACATTTGCTAGAAAACATGCGTGCAAAAACAGATCCAACCTTTTGTGAATACCTAATGAGAATTGATAATGGAATCGAAAAAAATTTGATAAAGGCAAAATTCAAATTCCTCATTATTTAGTCATACCATTCGAGAATGAAAAAGATTCATTGAATCTTTTATTTAAAGTTACTTATCCGAATTTTCACATCTCTTACTCAAATCTTTCTTTCATCACTTCTCATTCTATTCTAAGAACAAAAAATGATTTTGTAGACGAAATAAATGATATGTTAGTCACTCAATTTCCAACTACTGAAAAAACATATCTAGCTACCGATGAGACCATAGATCCAAAAGATCAAAGTGAATATGAACACTTATTGCATACTTTGAATCCCGTTGGTTTACCTCCTTACAAATTAACGTTAAAAAAATTGTCCAATTATGTTACTAAGAAATCTAAATCCCTTTGAAGGTTTATGCAATGGTACACGCTTAATATGTAATGATTTCAGATCACACGTTATCAGCGCCACAATATCTAATGGTGATTTTAAAAATACGCATGTACTCATTCCTAGGATACCACTACTAACATTAGAAGAGGAAAAGTTACCTCTACCATTTAAAAGGATACAATTTCCAATACGATTGTGTTTTGCAATGACAATTAATAAAGCACAAGGCCAAACTTTAGATTTTGTTGGCATTTATTTACGTGAACCTGTCTTTTCTCATGGTCAATTGTATGTTGCTTTATCAAGAGCCAAGAGTTCTAATTGTGTTAAGATATTGATAAGGCCACCAATAGCTGATAACAATGATGACACATCTACATATAACATTGTTAATGACGAAATTATAGAAAAAGCTTTTTCGTGAAGCTATCTTACACTTTTGATAGGTAGACAACCTATTGTATTCTATTATTTGATCTCATATATTTTTATATTTCAAACCATTATTCTTCTATTAATGATGATTTTGTCTTGCATATTTAATCTCAGTTACCAGCCATGACAGAAAGATTGAATACCAACGAAATCGACGAGAACACAGAAGAATGGATTTGTAAAGTTCAAGTAGTAGATTAAGGTCATCCCCGAACGACCAGGGAGGGAAACAAGAAATATCAATTGATGATATTAGAGGATGAAGAGGCATTTGTCACTAAACTAATAAATACTCATCTACTTTCACAAATTACTTTGTAGCAAAATACATATACTGCATACCATTTTTACTTTGCTTTTTAATGGTTGTAATCTATCTTGACTCAGTAATCTTCAGTTCAATGCTCTTCTACTTAGTTGAAATATTGTTCCTTGTGAGTTTTGCTGTCAAGCACTTGTTGTCACTGTAAATCTACGTTTTACGTTTCTTTTGTTGTAGAAAAGTTACAGATTGGGTTAAATGTAATTGGTTTTGTTTGTAGAACTTAGGTAAAGTTTAATTCTGAAGTTTCTTTTTAAATAAATTTGGATATTGATTGATTTGATTTTACGTTGAAGTTATGTTCTGTTGCTTGTCAGTTTTAATACGAAGCACTTCTTATCACTCTAAATCCACGTTTTAATTCTCTTTCTTTTGTAGACATAGTTTGTGTATAGAGAAGTTCGTTATTGTTTGGATTCGATGCTATTGATTTTCTTTGTAAAATATAGAAAAAATTGAATTGAAACCTGAGCAGATACCAGTGCATTTAAGATATTGAATTGTTTTTTAAGCAAAATCACATGCAAATTTTTAGGAACGACAGTGCTGAAGATTATAGAATAAATGAAATATTATTATACAGATAATGAGGGAGGATAAAGAATGTCTTCCTCAACTGCTTTCAGAGATTTTGATAAATAATGCTTCCTCAACTGATTTTGTAAACGCACAGAAAACCTAATAAATATGTGAACTGATATTTGAGAATTAATTTTTCTGCTAAAAGTGTTGCTTAATGTTGTTGTTGTTGTGTTCCTTAAATAATTATCGGCAAAATCAATACTTACATATTTTACAGTAGCCTTTATTCTGTTGATTAAACCATCATGTCCATGTCAAAAGCTCCCCTCATACTCATATCCTTTAAATTTTATATTCCCCATAAAAAGTAACTTTTCCCAACAATTCAAACCACATTTGAATTTTTATACCAACTATATGTTATTTCACTTACCTAATATTATTCTAATTTCATTGAATTTCTCATAGGAAACTCAAATACAAGTTATCATGCACGGTACAGATATCGCGGATTATGCAAATGAGTTTGTACCTTTCCAAACATATTTGCTATCGGGGGCATTTGTCTCCGAGTCAATCAAGGCATATGGAATTCCTCTTCATCAATTCAGCTGGACAATTGATAAGGGCAAAATTGTTGAACCAATAGATAAAGTCATACCCCCTGAACCACCATTGCTGCCACTAACGCTGCTAAAATCTACATCATTTGACAATTTCGATTATCAAGCTATAGGCTTTGAATTCGGTACTTCTCAAAATATATTTACAGTATACTTACTAGACATATAATTCAATTTTCATAACTATTACCACTTACTAATAACTCTTTAATTCTTGCAAGACATTCTTGCCCTCGTGATAAATGGTAGTCCTCCATCATATGCCTCAAACGGGAGCAGAATTCAAGAATTCATCATCATCGACTATGAGTAAGTATAATGTTACTTTTCCATCTTATATCCTTCTGTTTTCTATGTGCTTGTTTCAAATAACTGGATTTATTAATGAATAGTGATGTCATCTTCCTTTTCGTCAAAGTTGAAGGTCCAAATTGATCTAGGTGCCTGATTGACCCTCTTTCTTGGAAAGTAATTTTTTTTAAAAAAAAGTCCCTTCTCTGTGATTGCAAGCATCTCATATTTGAATGTTACCTTACCATGGTATATAGCTTGATATAAGGATCTAAAATTTCACTCACTTTCGCAAAGTTTTCTGCTGCATCTACTTCTTCATTCGTAATGTTGCCCAAAAGCGAAAAGAAAAAAATAAATAAGGAGAAAAAGATAAGTTGGTTACCACATTTTGAGAAAAAATTTTCAATTATCGCATGGATTGTTCTAATTTTCTTTGCAAATCACTAACTGGATGCTATGGAATTGGGAGTGGGGGTGGGGTTGATCTTCTGATTTTGATTTTATTGAATAGCTTGAAATATCGGATTTATCTAATTGTGGTGTACTTAAAATTGTAGCACATCTATTGTTATTAATGTTTGATTATCCTTTTGATTGACTGATTAAACTTGAACTAGGTTTGTCAATATTACCAAATCTAATTATAGCGACATAGTAATGGTTAACTTGTAAGGTCATTCTTATAAGGAATCTCATGAACATTGTTGGTATTCAAGATTGACAAATATAACATGCCAAGACCCATAGACAACATTAACCAACCACTTTAATGGAAGAATTAGCCAATTCTACAGGTTGCTCTCTAAAAAAAAAAGGAACACCTAGATATTTGAACAATCTAAGTATGCTTACTATGTCTTTATTTAGCCAGAATTCTTCTTCTTCTTATGACCAAAAGGAATACCCTTCGATAAGACAAGGGATCATCAACTTCAGGTAAAAAATTGTTTCTGTATGTAAATATCACTTGATATGAATGAATTACTTAGCAACATTTTTATCTAATATGAGTTCAATATACTAGCTATTTGTCTCCCCTCAATTTTCACCTTTCACAAGCACCACCAGTTCCACCATCCACCCCGCTTACCATCTCCTTTACATATTTGACATTTTAGATGTTACTTGAATACCACTATTAATACTATACCATTTGTAAGCGTAGCTTTTATGTAATGTTTATCAGAAAGATGTTGCTTTTGAGACATGATAATTGCGGACCAGAATAAAAAAGACAATATAAATAATTTTTAAAGATATTGAGTAATTCTAATTGCGGGCCAAAATTCATCCTGTAAAGTTAAAAAAACTTCAAACCTAATAACGAATCTCATAGTGTTCACCAAGGTCTTGCAATTTCATCTTTCTCTTTGACCCTAATTGGAAAACAACAGTAAGAATGTTGCATCCTACTTTGATGATATTCATTTTATTTGTGTATATACAACAATTGTAACACATTTTTCTTTACTTTCTTTTGGGTAACTTTTTTCCAAATTTGCTTGTATCTGTGTTTGTTATGATCTATTATAACATTGTTTATCTTCTTCCTTTTTTAAATAAAAATAGGAGGAAACCAACAAAACTCACTCTCTGGGAAGAATTCATTGACCTATATGGAAATAAACTTCTCAAACATCTGAAAGAACTTCAAGAATTTCCTGTAATTATTGCTAGAACAGTGGCCAAATCAAAATCATCTTCAGGTAAAATCAAAAATAATAACAATATCTCCTATAACACATATTAATCGAATTAACACCAACTATTAAACAATATGCAGGCCTTTCAAATAGATTTGGTACAACAAACCAGATTGATCCTCCATACCCACAAGCTATCGCATTAAAGACATGGTATTCAAAATACACCTCTCCATAAACAAATAAATGTATTCACATCTTTAACATTTTTTACATATAAGTCTGATGAAAAAAAGCCGGTTCTAAACACATACACAACAAAAAGCACCACAACTACAGTCTCTCTTTTGTTTATGCCATTTGAAGAACACATAGTTCCTATTGTCAACATACAGCAACAATCTTTGGTATATGCATCATCTACATCTTAAATATCTTTATGAAATGAAATGTTAATATAATTTACCATTTCATATGTATGCACAGAGGCAAGTATTCCACGTGCAAGCTCAATTGTTAATATCCAATGAAACTCAAAAATTCTGTGTCTTAGTGTGCTCTGAATGCAAGCAAGTATTTCCAAGGATTTGGACAAAGAGAACATTCTATTGTACAACCTGCTGTCGACCAACACAACTCACGCCAAGTTATGAAAATCATATAAGTAAGATCAATAACTCCATAACCATAACGTCCTTGAATTTAAATTTGGTACGTTAAATTTGTAAAATTTTTAGCACTGAGTTAGCTATATTTTGAAAGTCATGAGTTCAAAATCTATATTCCTTTTATCAATTGCTAAACTTTCATAGTTTTCACATATGTATATATCTAAAGAAGAGTTTATCCCGTGTGATTTAGGATGAGTTTATCTCGTGTTTGGTTGCAGATCATCGAATCACAAGATAACTTTTTCAGAACTGTAGTGTTTGTACTACAACTTATATGATTTTTATAAGTAAAATGCATGCACTAATTAGTCTGTTCAAACTTAGACGAATTGGATAAGTTAGCGTTATTTTACTCTTGGATGCTTTCCCTGGTGTACAATTGTCTTAGTAACAGAAGAAGAAAAATATATAATAACATGTTCAAGCCATGCACAATAAATAACAAATATAGAAAATATCAAATAACTACTAGAAAATTTGACAACCCTTTTTACCTTTGGTTGGAAGATGGATGAAAAGTTATTTTCATTTTCTCAAAAAAGTACATCTACTCAATTAATCCAACTCATCATTAGATTAATAAGAATCCATCTTTACTCTTTAGTTTTGAAGCCAAATAGTAAGATGACATGTCTTGGTTCCAAACAAGTTTTGGCCATTTATATAAGCCTAAAAATACCCATGTGGCCGAGTTTGAATTATAATGGTTAATGCATCTAAAGTTCTTTCTTTTATTTGATTTCAAATTGAGTCAGAAAGAGAGTAAATATTACCGTTGTTAGTCTTATTCACATAATCGTTGACAAACAATAGCAACAGATAACTAAATGTATGGAAAAAATAAGGTGGGTAGGTGGTAAGCCTAAGAACCAACATTAGACATATAAACGCAAACGTTCCTTGTGTGACTCTCACCTCATACGGCTTGCACAAAGACACTGAAGTATTTACTTGCACTATATCCGTGGAATCTGACTTAGAAACAATAAGATATCTTAGCAAAGCAACATGAAATTTAGTTCAAAATGCTTTTGATTATGCTTAATAATATTAATTCTCTTTTCTATGGTGGTTGTGTAATGATGAATAGGGTGGTAATGTAATTGAGTTATGCAACCTTGGTGTCTACTTCAGTATGCATGAACCTAGACTATTCCACCGGGTATCACTTAGACGAATTGGACAAGTTAGAGTATAATTTTACCACATTATATATATGCATATTAAGGAGGTGCAATGTGTAGATTGTTGTGTAGGTACATACCCTTGAAAGGGAAACCATATACTATATGTGTACGTCATAATCAAAGATTATAGTACAATATCCAGAGAAGAGTAAGCCAATAATATTTAAAATAAAATTTTGGGAGAAATGAAGAAAGCGACTAAAGCAAATAAAATCATAGATATATCAAGATAACTTATCCGTCAATCAAACGACCCTTATTGTTATATGTAAGACATTAATT